CCTAGGGAAGGCAGCATCTAGGCAGTCTCCAGGAATCACTGTTCCTCCCTCATCCTCTATGTCTCATAGGTCGGTAACTCAATGTCCTCAGTGTCCCCACCCCCATTCTCTCTCTCTCTCCATCCAGAAGCACTCTGGCCCACGGCCACCCCTAGAAACTTTGTTCTGAGTCTAAAGAAGTTCTTCTCTGTGAGTGTGCACGTGCGTGTGTACATTCTTGGAACTCTTAGAACCTGCCCCACCTCTCAACTATAACCCCTACAGAGGATGGTTTTGGCCAGGTGCTCACGCCTCTAATCTCAGCACTTTGGGAGGCCAGGGCGGGCAGATCACTTGAGGTCAGGAGTTCAAGACCAAACTTGCCAACATGGTGAAACCTTGTCTCTACTAAAAATACAAAATTAGCTGGGCATTGTGGTGCACACCTATAATCTCAGCTACCTAGGAGGCTGAGTCGGGAGAATCATTTGAACCTGGGAGGTGGAGGTTTTGGTGAGCCAAGATTGCACCATTGCACTCCAGCCTGGGCAATAAGAGTGAAACTCCGTCTGAAAAAAAAAAAAAGCAAAGCAAAGAAAATGGGATTCTTCTGCTTAAATTAACCAAGTACATCGTGCCCACACTTTTGCATGCACACACACACACACACACACACACACACACACACACTCGTGCCCAAATAGACAGTTTTTCAGAAATGAGGATGCAGATGAGAGACTCAAGGACAGGCCTTACTTGCTCTCTGTCAGTTTACAAGAGAATTTATTCCACATATTCATCCATGAATATTTAGCGAGGCAACAATAACATTCAATGACACCCATGAGATACACAACTCAGAGAGCCCTCCCCCAGGAACATACACAATGCTTGATGTCAACGTTTTAACTGGACTGAATGTTTGAAATGCAGGCATTAGCTTACAATAATCCTCCCCCGCCCTCTCTCTGTCTCTGTCCCTCACTCTCTCTCTCTCTTTATTTGCATACGTAGACATCCCTCCCGTTTTTGATACAAACTGCCAAGCAAATTCTTTAACAGAGTACACCTGGTGGGGTGCGTGGAGAGCTACCAAAGGTTTAAGTAGTGCTAATGGCACAAATGAATTTTCAGACATGCCACTCTTTCTTTTTTCTCAAGAGAAACAAAATGAAAAAAACATACATATGAGGCAAAGCTGTTCTGAGATTGGCAAATAAGGTTTAGCATTCAGTAAATCTGCAAACTTTTGACAAGCCACTGCAGAAGGCTGAATCATAGCCCCCGAAGATGTCCAGGTCCCCAGCCCTGGAACCTCTGTATGTTACCTTATGTGGCAAAAGGACTCTGCAGGTGTGATTAAGTTAAGGATCTTGAGATGGGGATGATCTTGCATTATCCAGGTGGGCCCTAAATATAATCACAAATGTTCTTTTAAAATGAACAGTGAGGCTTGGCTGTAAGAGAGAGAGGGTCAGAGGCCACATGATGATGGAAGCGGCAGTGCATTTGAGGAAAAGGCCATGAGCCAAGGGTTGTAGGTGACCACGAGAAACTGAAAAAGGAAAGGAAACAGATTTTCCTCTAGAACCTCAGAAGGAACTGACCCCATCAACACCTTGACGTTAGCCCACTGACATCAATTTTGAACAACATTTATTACAGTTCTGGTCTCTAGAACTGCAAGAAAATAAATGTTGTTCTTTTAAGTCACTAAGTTTGAGGAATTTTTACAGCAGCAAAGGAAACTCACACAGTCATGTGGCTCCAGGGACAGGGCTTCGTCCCCTCCACAGGCGCGCCAGGCTCCTTCTGAGGGGCTCCGGGAGCTCCATTGTCAGTGGGGCCACTGGAAGCCATGCAGGTACTTGGGCTTTTGTGTTTGTGTGTTTCTAAAAGTCCTCTGTTTTTCTAATAAAGTCCCACTGTCAGAAATTTAAGATGTAAAGAAAAATTGGAAGAACATAAAAAGAAAAAAAATAAAAGAATACAAACCAAAACCAAAAACATTACACTCAGCTATAATCTCACCCTCTGGAAATAGCCTTTGTAATAGTAATGATCACAATTTGTAATTACAGGTTAATTTTAATGATTATTATTTTATTTTATTTTATTTTATTTTTTAGAGACAGAGTCTTGTTCTGTTGCCCAGGCTGCAGTGCAGTGGCGCAATCTTGGCTTACTGCAACCTCTGCGTCCTGGATTCAAGTCGTTCTCCAGCCTCAGCCTCCCAAGTAGCTGGGATTACAGGCATCTGCCACCACGCCTGGCTATTTTTTGTAATTTTAGTAGAGGCAGGGTTTCACCATGTTGGCCAGGCTGAACTCCTCACTTCAGGTGATCCACTCACCCCGGCCTCCCAAAGTGCTGGGATTACAAGTATGAGCCACCACGCCCAGCCTTAATGATTATTTTTAAAATAATGTCGCTTTGCCCATCCTTTCCCCTGACAGTAGGGCCCAGGAAGGCAGGAACCCACTCCAGTGAAGAGCTCAGTGTCTGAGATACAGCATCGATCCACAATGCTTCAGTGTGGTCACTGAACGAATGGCCTCTGCCAACATTTTGATATATTTCTTTCCAGTCTTTTTTCTACGTATATTGCATATTTTTACAATTGCAATTGTTCTATGAACGTGTGTTTTTGCCCTACATTCCTCACTTAGTATTTTATTCTGAATGAGTTCTAAAATCATTAAATAGTCTCCGGAACTTTATTTTAATGGCAGACTAATAGTTCATACTATAGATGTTTCTTTGTTAGGTTACATTCTCTTTTTTTCCTCTTTTTCTGTTATAAATAATTCAGTAATGAACATCTTGGTGCGTAAATCTTTATCCACGTTTCCGATTATTTTCTTGGGATCAATTCTTAGGAGGGATATTATAGAAACAAACCATGTCATCATTTTTAAGATTCAGGTTAATGATCAGTGCATGCATTCACATCACCTCTGTTTTCAAGAAGGGAACCTCGGGGACATAGGACTGCAGTGTACACAGTTGCACGGTGAAGCTGATCCGCTGGGTTTTCGTTTAAGCAGAGAACACTGGCTGGGTGATAGGAGACCTGAACTCTGGTCTGAGATTTGCCATTTCCTGGTCACATTGAACTGGATGTCCTCATATTTAAAACAGAAGGGCCAGATGATAACGTTAAGCTCTCTTCTATCAAGAAAATTCTAGTGGCTGGGCAAGGTGGCTCATGCCTGTAATCCCAGCACTTTGGGAGGCTGTGGCAGGAGGATCACTTGAAGCCAGGAGTTTGAGACCAGGCTGAGCAACATAGTGAGACCTGTCTCTACCAACAACAACAACAACAACAACAAATTAAATTAGCCATGCGTGGTGGTATAAGCCTGTAGTCCCAGCTACTTGGGAGCCTGAGATAGGACGATCTCTTGAGTGTGGGAAGTTGAAGCTGCAGTGAGCAACGATCATGCCACCGCACTTCAGCCTGGGTGACAGAGTGAGACCCTGTCTTCAAAAAATGTAAACAAGAAAGAAAGAAAATTATAGCAACTCCTCTTGGAGACCATTATTAAAGGGGAAAAGCCAATGAAAATTAGGAGCAATTCATGCCAGATAATCAAATGTTGATCTTAAAAGTCCAAGCCATGAGGTCTGATAAATTAAACCATGGTAAAAAGCATTTAGCCACTCTCCTCTCTGTACACACACAGCATCTGTTGTACCTGTATGTTTGTTGAACAATGATTCTAACAATTTAAAGAATGTGCAAAGCCTTCCTCTCAGTCAATGGACTAAATGAAGTACAGTTGACCCTTGAATAACATGTGGGTTCGGGGCGCTGACCCCGCCCCCCATGCACAGTCAACAATCTGTGTATAACTTTTGACTCCCCCAAAACGTAACTACTAATAGCCTACTCTTGACTGGAAGCTTTACTGATAATATAAACAGTCAATTAACATATGTTTCGTATGTTATCTGTTGTATCATAAGCTGTATTCTTGCAATAAAGTAAGCTAGAGAAAAGAAAGTTATTAAGAAAATCACAAGGAAGAGAAAATCTATGTATTATTCATTAAGTGGAATTGAATCATCACAGAGGGCTTCCAGCCTTGCTCTTTCAGTTGAGTAGGCTGAGGAGGAGGAAGAGTGGTCTTGCTGTCTCAGGGGTGGCAGAGGTGGGAGAAAATCCATAGAGAAGTGAACCTGTGCAGTTCAAACCCGTTTTGTCTAAGGGTCAACTGTAGTTGGCCTGACTAACCAGATGCAGCAAATTCCACATATGCAGAATGAGAAGAAACAAAAGGTGGGCCGGGCGCGGTGGCTCATGTCTGTAATCCCAGCACTTTGGGAGGCTGAAGCGGGTGCATCACTTGAGTCCAAGAGTTCAAAACCACCCTGGGCAACATAGTGAGACCTCATCTCTACAAAAAATACAAAAATGAGCCAGGCATGATGGCGCATACCTGTAATTCCACCTACTTGAGAGGCTAAAGCGGCAGGATCACTTGAACTAGGAGGCAGAGGTTGCAGTGAGCCAAGATCATACCACTGCACGCCAGCGAGACCCTGTCTCAAAAAAAAAGAAGAAATAAAAGGCGATTTGTAGAAACATGATTGATATTACCGTATTCCAATGCTTGGAAAAGTGTAATCCATGTCTGACCACAACTCTATTAGCTAGTGCTCTTCCAACCTAGTTTGTGCTTCTAAGCAAAGTACCTGGGCCACTTTACAGCTCCCACTCCACAGTTATCCTGGAAATTAGACACTTGCTCATTCATTCTTTGATTCAGTCAGTCAGTTGGTCAGTCAACAAACATTTGCTGGAAAGCTGTGCCAGGCCCTTTGGAGGCCCCAGTGGGACGAGGCTGAATAGAACAGGGTCTCCCTGGCATAGTGAGGGAGCCCCAGAAATCCCAGCTCTGCCTCAAAGTGGCCATGTTATCTGAGAAAATGCACCTCTCCTTTCAGCCTCCTGTCCCTCATTGGTAAAGGGTGACCATTAATACTTCACTTGGTCTTGTTAAAAAGAATAAATCGAAGATGGCGGATGAGGCCACGCGACGTGTTGTGTCTGAGATCCCGGTGGTGAAGACTAACGCCGGACCCCGAGATCGGGAGTTGTGGGTGCAGCGACTGAAGGAGGAATATCAGTCCCTTATCTGGTATGTGGAAAACAACAAGAATGCTGACAACGATTGGTTCCGACTGGAGTCCAACAAGGAAGGGACTCGGTGGTTTGGAAAATGCTGGTATATCCATGACCTCCTGAAATATTAGTTTGACATCGAGTTTGACATTCCTATCACATATCCTACTACTGCCCTCAGAAATTGCAGTTCCTGAGCTGGATGGAAAGACAGCAAAGATGTACAGGGGTGGCAAAATATGCCTGATGGATCATTTCAAACCTTTGTGGGCCAGGAATGTGCCCAAATTTGGACTAGCTCATCTCATGGCTCTGGGGCTGGGTCCTGGGCTGGCAGTAGAAATCCCTAATCTGATTCAGAAGGGCATCATCCAACACAAAGAGAAATGCAACCAATGAAGAATCAAGCCACTGAGGCAGGGCAGAGGGCCCTTTGATAGGCTATGATACTGTTTTCCTGTGCATCAGCAGTCATTGCTGGGGTAGAAACAAGCAAACACCAACCAGTATTGCTACTTAGTTTCTAAGGCTGCACAAGGAAGGGAAAGCCTGGGCTTTGGACAATCTAGAGGTAATTTATATCCGCCCCCAGGTGGAGCAACATGCGATCCTGGAGGCATGGGGGTAACTGAAAGTGAGTACATAAAGTCTTTCTGGTTTCTGGAGATAACCCATCAATAAAAGCCGCTTCCTCTGGTAAAAAAATAAAAATTAACAAAAATAAAAAAATAAATCCAGGTGTGTAATGTATGGCACAGAGCCTAGTACCAAGGAGACAGTACATGTCAGGCCCTCCACCCTGACCTAGAAACACTCTCAGCTTGATGAGCAAGACAGAAATATAGAAGGTTATTTCAGTCTAACAGAGGTTTTCACAAAGTTCTGTGTAAGAGTAGAGAGAGAAACCGATCGCTCTGGTTTTCCTAGATGCAAGAAGGGGAATGAATGTTTGAAGTGTGCTGGGGAGAAAGGTGAAGGGTTTGCAAGCCCCCAGTGCTACCCTTCCGAGCCAAATGTTTAGAATCAGCCTGCAAGGATCCAGGCTGATGGGTGTTTATTTAGACACACACGCCAACAGCCTGTAATGTGCCCAGAAGAGGGAAGGGGGCCAGCGGGATGGATAGATTTTATGTGCAAGAAAGAATTGCGGCTGTGAAATGTGAAGTGAAAGATGCCTCGTTTTCGAATTAGGCTACGGGAAGAGAGGAAATGTATTTTTCCCAAAAGCTAGAGAATTGGGCCAAGTTGGGCTACAGAGAGGATTTCTGCATTTGGAAGACAATCTAATTTGGTGGGTTTGGGTTTTGGGGCAGGCAGGCCTGGGTTTGTGTCTCAACTCTGCCATTTACTGAGCTCATGTGGCCAGGCAAGCTCTGTTTCCTAGAAAGTTCCATTCTATGCCAGGTAGGGATGAATCCAGGGCACAGGTCAGGGGGTTGGTGTGAGCATGGATGGGGTGCTGCTGGGAGGACACCTTACACGGTACCCAGCCATCAGCAATGTTACTGTTTATTATAACAATAATAAATGTTAGTTCTTGTTGTTATTATCAGGCAGGAGGCTGGTTGGGATGCTTCTAGCTAAATGTCCCTGTGTCCTCACCGTATACTCTTTCCACCACAGTTATGGAGGGTTGTGGGAGAGACTTTTAAAAACAGAGGAAAGGGACAGGAGTGCATTTTCATTTTCACCTTGGTGTGGATGAACCAGCAGCTACAGCTGGCTCTCCTGATCGGCCAGTAACCCACCCTTCTCATTGATCTATCGATCTCATTCCCAGGTGGAAGAGTGTCTTAGGATTCAGAGCCAACAAACATTTTCTCAGTAATCCTCTGTTCTAGGCCCTGCACTTCAGGCAGCACCTCCCCTCATTTGTTTTTTTGTTTTGTTTTGTTTGAGACAGAGTCTCCCTCTATCGCCTAGGCTGCAGTGCGGTGGCATGATCTTGGCTCACTGCAACCTCCACCCCCCAGGTTCAAGCAATTCTCCTGCTTCAGCCTCCCGAGGAGCTGGGACTACAGATGCCTGCCACCACAACAGGCTAATTTTTGTATTTTTAGTAGAGACGGGGTTTTGCCAAGTTGGCCAGGCTGCTCTTGAACTCCTGACCTCAGGTGACCTATCCGCCTCGGCCTCCCAGAGTGCTGGGATTACAGGTGTGAGCAATGGTGCCCGGCGGCCTCCCCTCGTTTAATCTCAGTTCTCTCATCCCTTTGATAGCAGCATGAATGCACAGTCTCAGAAAGCACAGAGAGGCCAGGTGACTTGTCCAAGGATACACAGCTTAGAGGTGGGAGAGCAGGCATTTGTAGCTAGAGTTGAATGACTACTGGTCTTTCATTACTTCATACCTGGAAGGACGTAGGTTCCCTTCAGGGATTGGGGTGCCCTAGGAAGACCCACACAGGGACCACAAACTCCCTCCTCACACAGACCTCCTGGCTACACTCAGAAAGGCATCTGTCCTGCAACTGGAGACCGGCTGCATTCCAGACCCAAGTTCCTGCCCTGCAGAAAGGGTGAACTTACTGTTAATTCAATCAGATCAGTGAATCCAGGCAAATCATTATTTCTGCATTACCATGAACCTGAAGCCTTCCTGGGGTGCAGGATAAGGAGAGGTTTATTAAGGGATTAGGAACCATGTGCTGAGCAAGGTCCTGGAGTGTCAAGAGAGGAAACTAAGCCCTGGGGCCTGTCCGTGCATCTCCCACTGCCCGGCACCGGCTGGGCTGGCACTTGGCATTGCCACTTCAGGGAGGCAGGATTTGCTCAGGAGAGGAACCAGCCTCCGTCCTGATCCACTCAAGCTCCTCAGGAGGACAGACACCGTCTCTGAGCCACCTTTAGCCCTCAGGGAGGGCCCAGAGGAGAAGCTCAGCCCCTGGACACTAAGAAGAACATGAGAGAGCCAGGCATTTCCTGCAAGGACAACCTGATTGCTCTCCACACTGAAACAACTAGAATGCAGCAAATGGCCCGGGATATCCTAACTCGGCATGTGCGGTCCCCCGTCCTGCCTCTGACCTCCCTCAGGCTCCAGCCACCTGAATGGCCCAGGAGCCCATTTCCATTCAGGCCCTGGTTTGTTTCAGCCCTCCCCTCTGCCACGTGTCCTCTCCCCTTGCCTGTCTGCATTCTCTGCTCCTGGACAAAGGAATCATTTGCTCTTCTCCAAGCCCCTCTGCCACCCCTCCTCCAGCTATATTTGAAGAAAGGTCTCAAAACTCCTCAGGGGTATTCATCTTTGCAGCTTCAGATCAGCTCACACCCAGAATAACTGAATATAGGCATGGTTAGTAAATTCAATAACTAGGTCAGGTGCGGTGGTTCATGCCTGTAATCCCAGTACTTTGGGAGGCTGAGGCGGGAGGAACTCTTGAGGCCAAAAGTTCAAGACCAGCCTGGGCAACATAGTGAGACCCCAACTCTACAAAAAAAAATTAAAAAAAATTATCTGGGCCTGGTGGTGCACACCTATCGATCAGATACTCAGGAGGCTGAGGCAAGAGTATTGCTCAAGCTTAGGAGTTTGAAGTTGCAATGAGCTATGATCATGTCACTGTACTCCAGCCTGGATGACAGAGCAATACCTTGTCTCTTAACAATAATAGTAATAATAAGTAAAAATACATTTAAAAATTCAATAATTAGTTATAAATTCCTCATTTTCCCCATATACCCTTGCACTCCCATGTTACCCAATGTGGATAATTAAATAGCTAGACTTTACCTTTACAAAGCGTTCTCCAGTATGATTTTATTTCTTACAGTAATCCTAAGAGATTGGGGTTCTCACCGCCTCACAGAAATATTCCTTTCATTTTCTCCCAATGCTGAGACTTGGACCCAGAGAGTTAATGACCTACCCAAGGCCGCAGAGGTAGGTGGTCACAGAAACGGGGCCCAGCCTGAGCTTTAGAACCTGCATGAGCCAAGGCCAAACACGTCCCAGTCCCTGGAGCCAGTCCTGCCCTGGACATAAGGCCCCGGAAGAGGTCAAGCCATGCCCAGTCTCAGAGAGCCTTCTGGGCCTGGCAGCCCCTCACCTGGGCCAGGTGGGGTGTGGCCAAGGCCTCAAGGCCCTCCTGCCGGGCAGCCCATCCTGCCTGCCCACGGGCGGCTCAGCCGGCTGCCCTCCACCGTCTGCCAGTTCCAAGCTTTTTGGCAAACTGGCACCTAATCACCCACCATCTGCGAGCAGAGCGAGTCTTGGCTACCTCTTGGTGCTTCTTCAAATCAACTTGCAAGTTTTCAAAGTGATGCGAGTTCTTGGTGCTTGCAAAAATGTCAGCTTCCGTCACATCTTATTAAAACTGAAAATATGAAAAGGTTTCAGATAAACTGAAACAAGCCCAGTTTTAAGTGAGATCACTTTTTTTTTTCCTAAAATGCACAGAGTTTTGTTGTTTTTTTCTGATTACCGGGGTGATAATCATTATCTTTACATCTGTTGTCCTCCGTGGGGCCCACACCCGGACAGGGCTGCAGCTGACTCTGTGCAGAGTGTGTCAGTGGCGGTGACGGTCACTGTCTTATGGTGGCTTATTCATGCAGGGTCCCCTTGGTGAGGTTACAGTGGTGGAGAAAGTACCAACAGCAAGTAACACTTCTGTGCCAGGAACGAGGTCCTCTATGCATTCTCTTATTGAATCCTAAATAAGATTCTCCTGTTCTCTCCATAAAGGTGAAGAAACGGGGCACAGAGATGCCACTTGTCACATGGCTAGTAAGTGGCAGAGCTGGGATTTTAACCCAGGCAGGACACGGGCTGCTATGGGACCTGCAGGCTGGGGGAGGTGCTCAGATCCACCCTAGGGGCCCTGAGAAGCTGAGGGAGGGTTCTGATCAGGTGTCGGCAGGGTCAGGACTACGTTGGAAATGTCACTGTGGCTACGTCATGAATTCACTCAGCACTCATTCAGTGCTACCGCTGCATAGCTTGATGCTGGATTCTATGGAGAAATATGAGATGGATAAAACCCAAATCTAGGGAAAGAAGGCCTGTGCTTAATTATGGTGCTAGCAGAATGAAGCGATAATGGCATCCTGTTGCTTCCAGAATGAGCACCAAATTTCAGCCTCAGCCCCTCACTCACCCCCACCCGCACTCCCCTCTACCCACTGTCCAGGCCCAGCAGGAACTCACCCCAGACTGCCTGGCAAACAGACCCCCACTCTGCCTCCCAACTTAGTTCAAAGGCCTCCAAGAGCCCCCTGGGACATCCTCCTTCTGCGGACTGCTCTGAAACAGCCACGCCCCTCCAAGCTGGGGGCCTTTCCCAGGAAACTTGAATCCTGTGGGTGGGCCAGGCTCAGCAGGTGGGCTCCCTGAGGGTAGGGGCTCCTTCTCACGTGTCTCTGGGTCCGCAACCCCTTCCATGGCCCTGGCATACAAGAGGCATTCAGAAGATGTGTGTGAGATGAGCACTCAGAGCACTCATGCAGGTAACGTCCTAGAAGGGCTCCTCAGGAGACACGTGGCACAGAGCACAGCCAGAGCTGGGTATGAGTCTCCACTCAGCCAGCCCCTCCTGGATGGTGTCCACCTGTCTTTCCTCACCTGTGAAACGGGAGTAGGCAAAAACCATCACAGAGTTGTTGGATGAACTGAATGCATGGCACTTGGCAACGCTCAAGACACAGCAGCTTTTACTACTGCCACCACCGATGCCACCACTGCTACTCCCACCACCGTGACCACC